CAGTCGCAGGAACTTTTATTTATTTCGACGTTTTCATTGGTTATTTGATAAAATAAAATATTCTTGACACCTCTTATTTCGAAGAACTTTTCATGTAGTTTTTTTATATGTAAATTTTATTTTTTATTTCTATACCAATATGTAAATAAAATGAATTGAAAAAACTTGATATTTTGCCTCGGGAATACAAATGTGGCAAATAATTTGGGACGGAGGGAGTATCTTTTAATTTTTCTAATAATGTATACATCACATCGTACTTTTACTCATCAAATCAAGGGTATTTTGGAAAGTCAAAATAAAATTATCCTTCCCTTAATTTGTCACTTTAGTCAAATGTCTCTCTCTTTCTGAGACGGAAGAAGTATTATATTATTATGACTAGACACATGCAGTAGTGCTATATATGACATCCACTATATCTATTGCATGAACGAATTTTGGCGCTCCCATTTGCACAAGAAAAAGCGAACGGCGGCCTACTTGGCTACTTGTAACTTGTAAGGAGGCCTAATAAGACATTATTGATGGCGTGAACGAATATAATCTTTCCTCTGGCGGTAATGGTGGATTTTGAGTGCAAGTCTACTTGCTCCTTTCTTTTTCATCTTGTACCACAAACTTCTTTCTTTAATTAAAAACTTACTCCATAAATTTTATTTCTTATTAATTTTTACCATACCTATCACATTCACATTATACCTTTTACTAATAATCTAAGCATCATATATTCTACTTTTAAATATCACATCAAGGATATTCTTGGAAAGTCAGTACAAACATATTTCTCCCTTATATTCTCAAAAAATTAATCAGGGAAGAACTTTAAGGAATAGAGGAAGTATCTTCTAGGGTAAGAGAATTTAGGGTTGGTGTTAGGAGAATAGGGATAATAGCTTTAATTTTGTGAACGAGACCTTGTAGCTGCATTGTTTTAAGAAAAGTGACACCAAAATATCAACCGAATCAAATGTCAAGAGAACTGAGAGTAATTGGAAGAAACTCAAAGATATTACTTAAAAAAGTTGAAATAAATGTCAGGAGTATAGTTTTGAAATTTAATATTTTAAATTTTTTTCTATTTTTGTATCTTTTTATGTCACTATTTTTGTTTCAAACCCTAGTTTAAAATATTTTTGTGAATTCCACTCATTGTTATGGAGTTCTTTAATTTATATTACACTTTTAATTTAATAATATAGGGAAAAAGACCACCTCAGCCCCCGCCTCTACCCTAGATCGGTGATTCGGCGACCTTTGAAGGCAGAAAAGTTAAGGAGAAATAGAAATCATCAATTTTATCAACGAAGCTTCGTAAGTATCTTTATATGTCCTGGTAATTCTCGAGTCATTTTTGGCTTGGGTCAAAAAACATTGCCCGCGAAAGAAATCATTTTAAATATGAGTAAACATAGAAAAAGTACCAAAATAAGAGTTTGATATTTTTATCCTCTAAATTGAAGTTCATACTATGGTAATGTTGTACTGTACATTAATATTTCACTATATTTTTTGGTAATAAATAAAATCATGATTCACACTGTAAACATATTTTAACTAATACGGAGTATATCGAGAATAAAAATATAAAACTTTTATTTCATTTTATTTTTAATATTTTACTCTTACTTTAGTCTTTTTTCTTAATTTTATGGGAGGGCATGGAGGTAGTACTTCTCTTTGTAACTTTTGCTTTTGTAAATTCCTCTTGTTCTATTTATACCACACATCAGCTAGCGACTGATTCCCTCACAGTTCACCCTACTCAAAAACCTCATTTTATGTTCTACTCATTCTTAGCCTGTGCGTGGACAAAGAGAGTATAGGGTGTACGTACGTGCATGAGAATGGATGATCCGTTGAAGTGGGAGGCGGCGGCGGAGTCGCTGAAGGGGAGCCACCTGGAGGAGGTGAAGCGCATGGTGGCAGAGTACCGGAATCCGGTGGTGGAACTCCGCGGCAAGAAGCTCACGGTGGCTGAGGTGGCGGCCATCGCAGCGCGCGGTAATGAGGTCAGAGTTGAGCTTTCGAAGGGGGCCCGGGCAGGCGTCGAGGCCAGCAATGATTGGGTCACGGACAGCCTGAAAACCGGGACCGACACCTATGGCATCACCACCGGCTTCGGCGCTCACTCTCACCGCAGAACTATGCAAGGCCATGCTCTTCAGCAGGAGCTCATTAGGTAAACTTATGTTTTAGTTCTATTCAGTGCAAATTTTAAAATTTAATATCGCCAAATCGCACCACTATCTATGTACTTTTGAAAATAGGGACTCATACTTTCCCTCTTTTTAAAACTTATTTCTTAACTTGCACTCATACACTTTTGATCATTTTCGTCCATTTTTCCGACGAAAGAGGTATAGTATTGATGCCTATTTTCCAAACCATAGTGGGCACTGCCGCACTGGTGCTCATTTCTTATTTTTCATTTATTTTGTGTTTTTTCTCTTTTTTGTTTCTTTTATTAATCAAAGTTTATTTATTTTTTTAAAAATTGTTTTTATAATGTTCTTAAATTTAGAATTGCTTTTGATTGAAAATAAAATTAACATATACAGCATCTCTACATATCAAATTAACAATTTTTATTTTTTGCTTTCAAACATTAAAAATTAAAAATTTGTTTTGAGAACTTTAAAAAATGAGGAATAAAATAAGAAATAAAACAAAACGTACAAAAAATAAAAATTAATATCTTAGTTGGACATCCAATTCTAAGAACTTTTTTAGGCATTCTGAAAATTCTTTTTGTATAAGGCTCTTTTTTAGGTGTTTAAATTTTTTATTTTGTTTTTCCAATTTTTTTATTTTTGATTTTCTTTTTGAAGTTGCCAAAAACATTATTTATAAAAAAAAAGTTAAAATGTTTAATTTGAGATAGATGGAGTATATGTTAGTAGCCGTTAGAAGTAGAGAGAGAAATTTTTCGTTGCATGACGAGCGAGCTTGAACTTACATTTCTTGAGTTTCTTCAAGGAGGTTGTTCACTGTTGGAGTGAGGGCGATGAGTTTTTCTCTCCTTTTTGGTCATTCTCTGCTTCTCAATCGCTTTCCATGCTCTCGATCTCTAGAAAAATTGCAGACAAATGCAATTTTCCAATTCTTCGATCACGTACACAATTTTTTTGAGAGAGTGAGAATGATAAGGGATGGTGGTGGTTGTTAGGCACGCTCATCGAGATCACTGTTGACTATTAAGCATACACTATTTGTTTTAGATAAAGAAACTCTGGTTCTAATACCATAATAAAATTTGGTAATAATTGATCTTATTCAATAATGAAAGTTTAATTTATATATATATTGATTATAAGAGAGAATGATAATAATAGTAGAATAACAATTATAGAAGCAACTAAATAAGGAAATAAATAATAATAATATCTTATATCCTTTAATTCCTAGTAGTATTATTTTAGCCTAGAAGCTAAGACTTTATATTCAATTTAATTTCAATTGGATAAGAAAGGTGTTCCCACATCCAAATCCTTTAGGTAGTGTTTAGAAATTAGTACTAAATATTTTATTTCATCTCTTGTATTTCAATCTTATAATTTGAAATAC